ACTGGACACAGTACTCCAGCTGTGGCCTCACCAAGGCCAAGTACAATGGGAGAATGGCATCCTGGGATTTGCTTGAGAAGCATCTATGGATGCAGGCCAGCATTTTGCTTGCTTTACTAGCTGCAGCGTCACACTGAAGGCTCACGTACATCTTGTGGTCAATCATGACTCCCAAGTCTCTTTCATCTGTAATGCTAACCAGAGTAGCACTGCCAAGCCTATAAGCATGGTGCAGGTTTTTCCTCCCAAGGTGGAGAACCTTGCATTTTTTTGGTGTTGAACACCATCAGGTTTTCGTCTGCTCATTTCGTAAGCCTGTCAAGAACTGCCTGGATCACCCCCCTGTCCTTGGATGTGGATGCTTTACCCCAGAGTTTGGTGTCATCGGCGAACTTGGCCAGTCCGCTTCTGACACCGTGGTTTACATCATCAATGAAGATGTTAAAAAGTAAGGGCCCTAGGACAGAGCCCTGAGGGACCCCACTGGTCACAGGGCACCACGACGATTGACTTCTGTAAACCACCACCCTCTGGGTCCTGCTGCAGAGCTAATTCCCCAGCCAGCGGATCGTGGTGAGGTCGAGGCTGAAGTTATCCAGTTTAGCCAAGAGGTGATCGTGGGATACCAGATCGAAGGTTTTTTTTGAAGTCAGGATATATGACACCAATCTCTTCCCCCTTGTCCAGGTGATAGGTCACCTGGTCATAAAAGGAAATGGGATTGGTCAAGCAAGACCTACCCGCAACAAACCTGTGCTGGCTATCCTTCAGGATATTGCTTTCAGCTAGCCTGTATAGGATGGCCTCTCTGATAATCTTTTCCAGGACCTTCCCCAGGATAGAGGTCAGGCTGATGGGTCTGTAGCTTGCTGGATCCACTTTTCCCTCTTTTTGAATAGAGGCACCACATTGGCCTTCTTCCAGTCCAATCCAGATGTTTGAGGAAACTGGCTCAAGGCACAAGGAAGTTATAGTTTGTGTGTGTACAATTTCTTATTTTGTTGGTAACTAAAAATTAGATTGATAAAATCTCTGGGAGCCTTTCTTCATCAGCCATGTGCTTGCTTTGTGCCATAACTGTATTGTAACATTTTATTTATGCATTGATAATACCAGACGTATGAGTGCTTCCCTTTCATAACATAATGAAAACTGATTGAAAACATGTGGGTCTTTACTGAGGTTGAACTTGACCAGCAGTTGATTCCTGGGATCACAATAGAATGGTCCACCTGCCCTTCCAATGTCTTTCAGATGAGTATCTCAGTGCTTTATAGACCTTATGAAAGTTTTTCAACCTATCTGATAGAAAGTATCAGAGGTCAGTTATGGAGAAGTTTGAGGCTTTCTTAAGGTTTTACAGCATGTTTAATAGCAGATTCGGGGCTTGCACTAATGGATCTTGTCTTGGTTACTTTTTCTAGCCACTGGCCTACTTGTCCTGTATTTCTTCTTGGACTTCCTGCTTGTAAGCCACTACATGGGCAAAACAAAAGGAATAAAGGGGGCAGTAATTAGGACCAGTTCTCTGAACTTTGTTCCACAACTAAGGGAAGGTCAGCCTACTCTAGTTGCGTCTAAGATTTGCTCTCCAAACCTTCTCTGTCAATGGCTGTCTGCCAATGCTGTTTAAATGACTTGAAGCAGTGTTTTAGTATGTGCGCTGTTCAAGCTTGCAGATTTCAAATATCTGTTGATTTTTCTCCTGGTAAACTTTATCTTGCGTACAGAAAGTGGCAAACTGTTTTTGGCTCATCTTTTTAGTTTCTTTCTCTTCTTATATAAGTACCTTTTGATATTTCTAAAAATTGTTCTTAATTTCTCATCCCCAGTTCGCGTAGGGAATACAATGCTGTACATAATCTGAGTCTTTGAATATTGTGTATAATATACTCGTATGGGTTTCTGCTCATAGAGCTATGAACATTGGCTTGGAAAGCCCCTTCAGGTCCTGTCTTGTGCTTTTGCAGGTGATTGCGTCTCCAGAAGGATCCATGGGGACATCCCTTGTGGCCCGTCGTGGCAGGGCAAGAAATGATTTGCTGTTGGTTGCAGAGATCAGTGCTCAGATTGTGCTGTGCTAAAGAGACATTTGGAAGTGAGGAACTTTACAAGAATAGCCTGGTGGGCAGCTGTTCATGTACAACAGAGAAAAGGTGGCATTAAACAAAGGCCAGAGAAGGGAACAAGTGATGCAGTAGCTCATTTTTACGGTGAAGAGGTAGCAATCCAATATAGTTCTTGAAATCTGTGTTAAATTCTCCATTGTAATTAGGGATTACATTATCTGTGCTGAAGACCAAGGTAGTGGTCTTGTGAGGTCCATTAGTGTCAAAACTTGCGTCCCGTTCCTTCACAAATGCTGGTTTGACCCAATGAAGGGCTCTTCCAGGTTCTAGATATACCCAAGTACCTGCTTCATCTGTTATTGTCACTTGGGTCCTCCTTTAAGCAGGAGCTACTTTTCTTCCCTTTTCAGGTTCCCTCTGTATCCGACTTAATATCAACTGATGCTTGTAGAACGTCTGCTTAGGCAAATCTTTCAGTATGTTAATTGGGTGGATCCTTCTTGCTGGCTTGCCCTCAATTAATTGCCTATGAATTAATAGAAATGCTTCCCCTTGCAGCAACTTTACAGAAAGATGTGAGTTAAAAGAAATAGCAGTGACAGCAACAGAGATCTGTGCAGCTACTCTTGTTCTGACATGCTTTAGTTGAGACTGCGTTCAAAGGTGAACTTTGTTCAGTTTTCAAAAACTATTAATATATTCTTTAAATGTAAAGACATCTTGCTTTCTTCAAAAATGAGAGAAAAATGCATTCTGCTGTTGAATAGGCAGGTTAACTGCTTGTTGACTGAAAGCTGCAATTTGTATTTTTTTAAAAGGCTTTTAAGAGTACTTGACTCATGCTTGTGAAAATAATATTCTTTCTCCTCTTTTTTGTTTGCAGTTCACATGCTACGTTGTATTAACTTGTTTTCATGCTAAATTCCTGAGGGTACAAGAGTACAAAGCTCAGATGTAAGTGCAAACCTGATGCACTTGCAGAAAAATGTTTTAAAAAAATAAATAAAAAGGCACAGAAGCTTAAGAGCCTGACTCAAGATGCTGAAGGATTAGTTAATTCAGCTTAATTTTTTTTATTTTATTTTATTTTTTTGCAGGCCTTTGAAGACTCAAGTCAGGAACCACAAAGTTAAGCCTGTACTGTAGCACATGGTTGTTAAAGATATCACCCATAGAGACCTATGCTCTGGCCCAGAAATCTTGGATGGGTCCTGCATGCTGCGTGTGCTGGCTCTGGTCCCATGCACTGCGTGTGGAGTGCATGGCTGGCATGGGTAGTGTTGTATGTGGTGTCTGTGCAGGGCTGGTCTGGTGTGGGCTCTGAGTGTAGCATATGACCTGTGCCGGTCCTACGTGTTACATAAGCTCCAGACTAGCGTGATGCATGCACTTAGTATGTGAGGCTGGACCCGGTGCACACGCTGCATGTAGTCTGATCCAGGGCACGAGCTGCATGCAGTGCCTCGCTGGACCGGCCCTGCGCACTGGCTCCAGGGATCATATGAAGTGGCCTTATGTACCAGAGCCAGTGCACAGGCCTGCTCTGGTGAGGCGCCACATGTAGCATGCTCCCTGTGCTTTTTCTGTGAGTAAGCCCCTGACTGGTGCCAGAGCATGCCTCGTAGCGCACAAAGCTGGTCTGGGGTACATGCTGCATGATTGGCCCTTTCTTTTAAAGGATTTATAAAGAATCTCTTGTGAAAAATATCTGCTGAGGGTAGTATTTTCAGAATTTTCAAGTGAAAACAAAGCTGAGACTTCTCAAAAAGCGGGGGTGGGCAGCACAGGAAGTTTTAAAAATAGATAAATAGGCAGGCAGGCAAAGTGTTGAGGTGTTGCCACGCGGAGAGAAGGAACTGAGAGGGCAGCCAGGGTTGAGTAAGTTCAGTTCTATAGGTCTGCACCATAGTACGTGGGTGCGCAACCCATAGCACACATGCCACAAGTGGCATGGGCAGTCTTTGTCATGCAGATTGCATAAGGGCAGGGAGCAGAAAGAGCGGCAGCTTGGATACAGAAGGGGTATTGGACACTTGGAGAGAATGTAGTGCCTGCCAAGAAGGTTGGCCCTCCACTGTCATAGCAAATGTGATTGCTTCTTAAGCCATCAGGGAATTTTAAGAATCCCAAATGGTGAGTTAGGATATAATAACTGGTATGGCAGAGTTCAAAGAAGAGTCCAGATAAGGGCTCTTCAAATTATTTCACCCAGTATAGGCCTTGCCTATATAGAAAGACTTATTGCTGTCACGATAAGTTTTCCCTTCTATCATACCATTCCCTCACTAGATCTCAAGTCAATGGAGAGGTTATCCTCATAAACATATCCCTCAATACTACTGGGATTGTCTGCTCAAAATGTTTCTCTACTGTTTCTACTGCTCCTCTGTCTTTGCATTTATCTCCAGACTACTTCTTTGCCCAGATCTGTTTCACCATAACAATCCTCTATTCATTTAACTTCTTTGCACTTTTAGAGAGAGGTAAGGGCATGACTGTATATGCAAACTTGCAGAGAGACAAGAGGGCTGATGAATAGGTAATCAGCTCTGCTCTCTCTCATCTGCATATACTGCTGTTAACAAGAATGTTATTTCTGGAGACACAAGTCCACCATTTGAGAACTGAAACTAAGCATCGCAGAGATGCTTAGTGGGATCTTCTAGACTGAGCCCTGAGTCCCATGGTTTTCTTTAATCTTTACTAATCTATAGAGGAGCCTCTGGGAAGTGACCTATTTATAAAACTTTTCTAAAAAAGGTTACATGAATATATTGTCTCAAATAGTATATCATTAGAAGTCTATAATCCTTATTCCACGATGATATCTTTGAGCTTTAACACATCTTAAATTTTTAAAACTATCTTTATATAGGTTTGTTTGTTTTGTTTTTAAAGCATCATCATCATAAAATTTACGATTTAAATAAAAAAAAAATGTGATTTTTTTTTTTTTTTTTTTTAACCCCCCCCCCCCAGTTTTTGTTTTAAAACAAAAAAAACCCCAACACTGATTTTTTTTTTTTTTTTATCCACCCTGGCTGTGTGCTGTGAAGAGGCACATTGGGGCCCCAAATCTAATTGGGGTCTGTGGTTGTAACTGCTAGTTAATAGCTTCAGAGGCCGACCAATACCCGTTGATGATCAATCATTGCACAAGCTGTCGCTAGGTCTGACAAGACATCATCTAGCCGACCCTAATCCAGAACTTGCAAAGGGACCGAGATCTCTGCGTGGAGCTGTTGAGGTATTGTGGAGGCTCACTGTTAACCATCGGCCAAGTCTCACCTATCATCGGGCCCCTTCAATGATTTGAGCTTCTCAGCTCGTACCTTGGAGGGATGGAGGTATTCAAGCTGTCAAGGGTTTGTCAGAGTTAGCTCCCCAGAGGAGGAGGTAGAAATGTGGTGTTTGGCAGTATTTTAGCAATACATTGGGTATATTTATGAGTGTACTGTTCTAGATTATCAAATCCTGAATGAAAAATAACTAGATGAGAGAGAATCCTGCCATTCGTTGCGTCACCCTGGGCAAACTGCTTTGTCCCTGGGCTCAGCCGCTCGTCATTTGGTCCTTGAACTTGAGGAAAATCAAGTACTTTATTAGTATAATTTTATATAGAGAGAGAAAATTAAGAATTAAAAATCTGACTTTGAAGGAATATTATTAGTCCTGTGCATTTGGAAGTGTAGTAAAATTTCTAGTAGTCTGGTTTGGTCCTTTTTTCTTTTTCTTTTTAATTCAGTCGGCTTATGATCACTTTCATAAATGATTTTGCCACAGAATCTGTTGGCATGGCTTATTTATCTGGTTATGATAATTTAAAAATATTTCATGATTAAATTCTGTACAGCTCTTTGGGGCCCCTGACGTCCACAGTTTTGTTTTTCTTGCCTGTTTTTATTAAGTAACCTAATAAAACAATCCTGACTTGTGTGTTTGAGTGGTGTGGCTACTTGTTATGGGAGAAATAGGTAACACTCTTGCTTCATATAGATCGCCAACGAAATTTAATATGGGAATCATTTCCATTTGGTCCCAGGTTAGGGTAGAGTCGAGTCAAATGATATAATGCAGGGCTGGGCAGAATATGGCCTGCGGGCTGCATTTGGCCCATTTGAGGGACTTTGTCTGGCTTGTGGGGGGTCTCGCTTGGCACTGTGGGTCCTTGGTGTGGGAGCCTGGGACAGCCTGGAGGAGGCGCTGGTGGTGGTGGGGGCCCCAGCTGAGCTGCCACTGCTGAAGCTGCTGCCTGCCCCTGCCAGCTCCCTGCCCACCCACAGCCCCATCCCACACAGGGAGGTTTGGTGAGCTGTTGCTTAGGGGGAAAAGAGCAGTGTGCTGACTTGGCTCATGACAGCGAACTCCCTTTGTGGCCCACAGGCCTAAATAATTGCCCACCCCTGATCTAAAGACTATGTCAAGCTGTTAATCCCTTTGCTCAGATGGTTCCCTGGATAGTGCAGTGGACTGGGACAGGACATGGCAATGTTTGTTTTGGTGGTGACCCAGCTCAAGTCCAAGCGGGGGCTAGTGCTAGGACCCGGCTGCCGTCTTTCTGCTGCCTGGCTGTGTCATGGCTCAGTCAAAGCCTCCCTTGCTGCCAAAGCTGCCCTACTGCATGCTGAATCTAGTGGCTCTGCAGGCAGTAGGTTGCTGACTCCTGAATTAGGACAAATGTCCTGGCCTGAATAACTTATCCAAGCATTATGTTGGTCATGAAAGCATGGAGGAAAGCTACTAAATTCAAATATGTGTATATGCTTTTTAATGTGGAAAAGAGAATACCAAAGCCCCCCAAATCTCTGCTGAACTAAGTGAATAACTAGTAATAAAAGAACTGTATTAAGATGACTCATGCTTTCTCCTAGCTTCCCTCCCTGCCATGGTGCTGACCTCAATCAATCAGTTGACAATGGAGCTGTTGGCTTTAACAGATGGTTCCTGTTTCTCATTTCATGTTAAACTACCTGGTTGTGAACACAGCTGGCCTCAGCTAGATCATGCGACCGGTCCTCTTCCCCCAAGCCTTCATCACTCATTGTTAACGCATGATATCCTTCATTAGATCATGAGCTTCCTGAAACAAGCACTTTCCTTCTCTGTATGGTGCCGGGGTTATTAGCACCCCAGCTTTGATGGAGGCTTATAGACTCTATGGCAGAAACTAGCAAAAGAATAGACCAGTGATTCTGTCAGGTTGCTGCAGCACCCTGGGGAGGCTTGAGATCCTTTTAGGGGTGATACAGGGTGACACTGTGCTATTGTTGTTAGGTGGGCAAACATGATTCACAAGACACATCCAGAGATTCAGATAGGGATCTATAGTGTTAAATTATTCTGATCCGCTACGGGCTTTCTGAGCTCTTTGTGACTGAAGAATTGCGCTGTTCTTTTTCTGTAGTCAAAAAAAAAAAAAGAGGGAAAGTGAAGATTGTGCATTTCCTTTGGGGTGCCATGAGGCGGAAAAGGTTGGGAAGCCCTGGAAAAAAAGCTAGTTAGTAAAAAAAAAAAAAAAGAGTGAAAGTGAAGATTGTGCATTTCCTTTGGGATGCCATGAGTCGGAAAAGGTTGCGAAGCACTGGAATAAATGCTAGTTAGTAAAAAAAAAAAAAAAAAAAAAAAAAATCTAGGGGGAATCAGATTTTTTTTAATAGTAGGGCTTTAAATTTGTATATCTTCATGTTCCTGGAATCCTCTTTACTATTAGCAATGTTGGCTTTATTTGCCAATGACTTCATATTGGGGGAAATAGTTATTCAGCTAAATGTGGCAAGAATGATGACTTTGGAAAACAAGTAATGAAGAATCTGAAGGCAAGAAAAAGGTTAGGATTGGTTGCTCCTCTTTTTTTATAATTGTCTCGAAACGCTCATTTTGTTTGACTCTCAGCTTCCAGGGTGTTTTTCAGGGTGTCCCATCGTCTCCCACCCCGCCCTGTTTTTTTTTTTTTTTTTTTTTGCAGTGTCACTTGGGAGTCTGAAATGTGCACCCTGGCTGGCATTTTCTTGCTCAGTAAGGGTGAAACCAGGTGCGTTGTTGCTTGTACAGAGTTCAGAATTGCATTTAGTTTAAGAAGGTTTAGGAAATTATATTAACAGTTCATGAAACTTGCAAAAGGTCTGAGTGTTCCCCTAGATGTGGCAGAGACTAAACCCACCGATTTCTCTTTGGAGGGTCCTTGAGCTCTGGGTAAGACGTTCTGAAACCTGGTAGAGCTGATGGACTGCTGCATGGTCCCTGTTGTATGGTCCTATCTGCCAAGGTCAGCAATCTCATCAGAAGGGAACACCTGGATAGTTTGAATGCTTAGTGGGGCAGTGATAAAATCAGAGTAACTTAAGCATGTGGCAGCTCCCAGGCGGATATAATGTCAGCTGCACAAGAGCTAACAAGCCAGACGCTTTGCTTTCAGGGTCAAAGCCATTTTTTTGCATAAAGCCAAAAACTACTTATTCATGCTGCTTAGTGTCTCCCTGTAATATCTGGAAGGTTGGTCTTGCTGACAGTTGGGGAAACCAGCTATTAGTCATCACTGTCTTTTCTGTTGGGTGTCAGGTGTATTGATGTTGGTTGTATCTGTGTGCGCTCAAGGACTTACAAAATATTTGCATTGCAGCAGCTTTGAAATCTAATTCTGCTTTTCCAGTTGGGAAGTGGGGGAGCTGTACTCTGGAGGAATTGTAATGGTCTTTTAGGGAGGGATCTCTAATCAGTGCTTCAGAAGCCGCCTTTGTCCCTGTAGTACGCCAAAGACTTGGACTGGACCTCTGGTATGCAAGCTTGTGTTGCTATATATTGTGTAAAAACTGCTGAAGTAACAGTTGCTATGGGGTGAAGTGAATAACTCCTTTGACTTGATATTATGGTGGCTTATGCCTTGTCACAGTTTATTGCTTGAAATTTTGATGCATGTCGGGGATCAACGAGAGCCACTTCCACGTAGTGATCCCTGGTAACGTCTCTGGCCAGAGGCATCCTGAATTGACAAAAACACCAAAGCGCGCAGAGATAAAGATACGGACGCTGTTTTTTTGTTATCCGAAAGAAGATGCACACCTAGCTTGTAAATTTATCAGAAGCTCGTAAGTGACTAGCGTAGTCTTGTTGCTGTAGTAGTCCCTTGTAATTAGGGGCCTACACAACTCAAGGAGGCAGCTGGCCAAATTCACGGGCAGGTCCCAGGGCCAGGTGCCACTTTTGCAGGCTCAATGTGGTGGGGGCCTGCCTTGTTGCCCCCATACCTCTGGCTGAGGGGCCCTGGTGACCCTGCCCCTAGCTGCCGGTTGGTGGAGGAAGACAGGGCCCTACAACAGACAGCCCTCTCA